CTAGAAACCAGGAAAAAAAAAAAAATGAGTATCTCAGTCATGCACATATAAAATTCCAGGCTTACTAGAAACCAGGAAAAAAAAAAAGAAAGAAAGAAAGAAAGAAAAGAAAAAAGCAAAAGCAAAAATAACCACACAGATGAGAGCAGGAAGAGAAAGAGATTCTACATTCCAGCAGTTCCCTACTTTTCCCTTTTGCAAAAAAATATTGCAGAAGGTCAAAACATAAACCTCAGATAAGAAACCACTTAAATATTCTCTACTATTGAACTACTTTGTCTTTTGAGAGTAAGAAAGCAATAACCAGTAATACTCCTGGAAAAATTATTGAATGGATTTCTGCACTTTCAGAAAGGAGAAAGCAAAGTGTCGTGCTAATCAGCCCTTTTTTCCTGTGAAATTTGAACAGTTCCGCCTTAAAAAAAAAAACCTACCAAAAAAATTTTTACAGCCATCCTGAGAAGGAACTCACAGATTTAAGAAGTAATTGTTTTTCTCCTGAATGTGAGAAATAAAGTTCTACCAAAGTCTATAATCGGGATCTCAAAAAAGTTCTCTTAAATATTTTTTTTGACAATAGAACGATTGCGATGGACCTGGAATATTTTACTCTTTAATAATAGCTTGCCCTAGGAGAAGATGGGATGAACACAATGCTTAGGTCTTCTAAGCCAAAACGTATTTGTCCCTCTCTCCTTGTGGCCCAGGATGAAGGATTAATGATGGGCCACTTGCTTCCATTAAACTCACGTCCACACACGCAAAAGAAACTATACAGATAAATAGGGGACACAAACCACCAATGCCTAATAGTTTCAGTTTTGACCCCCAGGTTGGGCATTTCATGCCATTCTTCACTCTTCACATTCCGTATGTATTAAAGATATTTTAAGCTAATTTTCTTCCATAATTAAAGGACTTTTATGCCATTAGAAGTAATTGGTATTGGCGAGAGTCATCAGAAAAACAGCAGCGGATCTGTGTCAATATAATTTCAGTTCGAACTCTACGTAAGAAATGAACGTCGTCCCCTGAACTTTTCTTTCTGGGAATTTCATCTGGGAAATCAGGAAACTCAACGTGGCCAGCAGGGAGCCCAATATAGTATTTAATAAGAAAAAGAGTTGGGTGGGGTGTGGAAGACCCGAATTCAGAATTGCAGCGCTCCTAGGCTGTGTGCTGACCGGTCTAGCAGAGCCTTCGCAGCACACTATGTTTGTGCTCCCGGGGCGGGTCTCCGAGGTGCGGAGGTGGGCGGCGGAGGCGGGTGACAGGGCTCCCTGCATCTGGAGGCGGAGAAGCGAGAGGCCCTTCCCCCGCACGCACGCCTGTTGTCCCCGGGCCTATTTATAACACCCGCTCCTGGAGGGCCAGGGCTGGGGGGCGTGGGGAGGCCCTTCGGAAGTGCAGACCACAGCACACTCCACCTTCCTCCACATCACAGCCCAAACTCTGGGAGTCCGGGTTTTCCCCGTTCCCTCTCCTCCCCACTGCCCTGAAGAAGTTTGCTGTGGTCGTTTCTTCGGGGTGCAGGAGGTGAGAATTACCTCCCTTTTCCTACGGGCTCCTATCGAGGGGGAGGGGGAGAAGGGGATCGGGGCTGGGGTCCGAGCGCAGATGGTGCTGCCGTGCGCCTGAAATATACTCTTAAGGCCGCAGCCTGAGCAGCTGTTCTGGCGGATCCTGGCTCGCAAATTTCCTCCACGCTGCTTGGAGGGAGGCGACGGCCAGCAGGCTCCTCGGAGACCGGTCTTGAGACCCTCTCCAGCCCGTGGTGACTAAGTCCTAGAGGCTTTTCCAAAAGACTGCGAGTGCCGGCACGGGTAGGACAGAGAGAGTACCTCACAGGGCCCTCTCCAAAGCCCGGCGGGCCTTGGGGTTTTTCGGGGCCACCAGGCTTGGTGGAAATTTTTGAAATACATACTGTGTCCTCTGACTGGTGAGTGCCTACGGCGCGCAGGCCGGCTGTTCCCCCGCTGCTGCAGGTTGGCGCCCCCTCTGCGGGTGCTCGGGCGCCAACTAAAGCCACCTCTGTCCAGACGCGGAAAAAAAAAAAAACGGGCTGTGAAAAAGCAAAAGGCCGCGTCTTTGAATAAAAGTTAAACATTAAAATCTGACCCTGGGGTTGTATGAAGATCCCGGGATTTTGAGGCTCGGATAGAGCGGACTAAAAACAGTAGTACCAGTCCGAAAGAAGAGATGGTGAGAATGATAAATACAGACACTCCAGGCGGGTGTTGTGTGTGTGTGTGTGTGTGTGTGTGTGTGTGTGTGTGTGTGGTGTGTGTGTGTGTGTGTGGTGAGTGTGTGTGGTGTGTGTGTGTGAGTGTGGTGTGTGTGTGTGTGGTGTGTGTGTGTGTGTGAGTGGTGTGTGTGGTGCGTGTGTGTGGTGTGGTGTGTGTGTGTGAGTGGTGTGTGTGTGTGTGTGTGTGTGAGTGGTGTGTGTGGTGTGTGTGTGTGTGTGGTGTGTGTGTGTGTGTGGTGTGTGTGTGTGTGTGGTGTGTGTGTGTGTGTGTGTGAGTGGTGTGTGTGGTGTGTGTGTGTGTGTGGTGTGTGTGTGTTGCTTTTTCCTGTTCCTAGCTTGTTACCGGCCTAGGGCGGCGAGCCACGCAGCAGCTTCTCGGCCCTAACAGGGAGAAAACACTTTAAACAGACCTGTGAGGCCCAGCCGAGTAGAGACGCTGCCCTGGGCACAATATACGGACCTGCACTGCTGCTGCTGCTGCTGCTGCTGCTGCTCTTCCTTCAATGTGTCCCTGAGTGTGTCTGTTAATATTAGAGAGGAAAAGAAAGGCCTAGAAAGGACCCCAAGCACTGGTCTCGCCTTCCATTACCGCCGGGGTCCAGCGCCTGCAGCTCCGCCTCCTCCGCTCCAGGGACAGCCGCGTCTCCACGCCACCGCGCCCTTTCTCTAAAAGATCTTTTTTCGTCCTACGTCCAGATCGTAAGAAAGCCTTAGCTATCGCAAGGGCTCCAATTTGGGGATCCCCTCGTACCAGGAATCCAGGTCCGGACTGTAGCCAGGCTCCGCAGCAGACCCGTGGGTGCTCTCGGATTTTGACTTCCTCCTCCTGGACCCTCGCCCCAAAAATACATACTTCGTTTTCTCTAATCCGAAAGCCCATCTTTTTCTTTAAAATAAAAAATACATGATAAAGTAATGGGAACTGAGCAACTGAACTCTGTCACATAAAGTTAGTTCTATGTTGGGTCTTCCACCTCACCCCCACCCCGTGGGAGCGAGTGAACCGAATTCCGGAAGCCACGTTCATGCCTCTCCAATAGTTTCTCTTTGCCTCGATCCCCTCACTTTTCTCTCCTCATTTCTGGCTGAGGAGAATGGTGGAAAGAGAAAACTGTGAGCTGAGCTCCTCATCATGATCCCACATGTTAGCCTTTTCGAACATCCAACCCTAGACCGGCTCCCGGCGAACTGGGGTCTCCCAACAGGAAAATTCCCGTGGACAGGGCGTCTGCCATGCGCAGTTAAATAACTTCTGCATTTTCCATATCAGGAAAATAAAAGAAATTCCCAAACTGCGAGTTGTCATAAGGCCTTCAAGAACTTTTACCAGCTGCATGAAGGCCCAAGCGAGATTTTGACAACAGATAAATGAAGTGAGGAAATAGGGTCTGGCCAGAGAAGAAAAACACACATTAGCCACGCGTTTCTTTCTGGATTGCCCACGCAGGGGTCCGCGTGGACCGGCACTCGCATCCAAATAGATGGAAAGACTTGGACGGACGAAATAAATCTCCTTTTAATTTTCTTTTCATCGACTAATAAAAATAATTCCCCAGCACTAAACCCAAATACCGTAACGGACCACAAGAACACGGAGAATTCATAAAACCCTGTCTCTGCAGGTCACCCGCTAATCGCGTTATTATTAGCCTCGGGAGCATGGAAATTGAACTGTCACTGCCTGAAGAGAAAATGTAAGCGACAGCTGTCCCTCCTCGGGCCGGCCAGCTTTCCGGTCGGGATCCCCAGCTCCATGGCTGCCCCTACCCCTGTGCGGGCCACCGCCCCCTCCCAGAGGCTGCCAGCGCGCGGACTTGGGTCTACTCCTCAGACCTGGCTGGTCAGCAGGAGCATCGACAGCATGGTTTTAGAAGTCCAGGCTGGAAAGTTTCTGAAGCTGCTAAACCAAGCTGCGAGTGTTCTCAGTGTGTGCACGGGCTCAAGGGCGTGATATTCTTCTGACAACAGCTGTTCCTCCGGGCTGTTTTGAACAGTTGAAGTCTTGGCACTTAATACAAAATGTTAAGTTGTCCTCGACCTCCACCCCCAGGATTCTGTTAAAATACAGATATCTACGTCCGCCCTGCATTTTACGTGTTCTGTGCGTATAATGTGCATAGAATACGCACAGATCCCAGACACAAGTTAATCGCGCCCCTGCTTCCCAAATGTACAAAGATGTGGGCCCTAGAGTGACCCAGGGTGCAGGGAAAGAGATCTAACACCCAGTCCTGTTTCCATCAACCCCAACGGATTAGAAATATAATTATGCTCCACCATCGAAAAGTTGATGGGAGAAATGTGAGGGCCGAAGTTGAAGGCTAAATGAGACAAACTGGGCATTCCCTGAGACTGGGGTATCAGGGCCCGAAAATACCACGCCAGTCCTCCGGAGCTCTTAGAAGCTCATCTCGGTTCCCTCTGTTGCCTTCGACCCTCGCCCCCTCTAACCCCAGGGGCCTGCTGCCCTTCAGTTGCCGGCACCCTGGACGCTGCGCTCTGCTCCGAGAAGAGAAGGGAATATGAGCAAACAGGCCTCCTTGCTGGAGGCTGGCGACGAAAATGCAAGGCTCGGGCCAGCCCCCAAATTGGTTCCGGAGAATTTAGGGAAGCTCGAGGCTTTTGCGCGGAGAAAAAGAAACCCGTGTCGGAGCAAGGCAGGGCGTCAGCGGCAGGGCCTCGCTCCGCACCCGTGGGCTGGCTGTTCGGCGTCCCCTCTCCTCCCGCCTCCCGCGGTCCGCCACAACGCACTCACCCGGGTGGGGCTCCAGGCCGTGTGCGGCCGTGTCCTCCGTGTCTCCGAGTGGGCCCGCGGGGCTCAGCGCCTCCATGGACAGGTCCAGCCCCTTCTCCTCCCAGTCTCGCAGTTTCCGCTTTTTATTTGAGCCGATCAAGGCTTCAACGGAGAAGGCATGTGCTCGAGAGCTCAGGGCGACTGCAGATCTTCTCCTTTCACTCATCTTAGCCGCCAGCAACCCGGCCCCCACTTGCCCCCGCTACTGAGGGAGCAGCCCGCGCCCTCACGCTCCTAGCGCCCGCCGGGCCGGGCCCGGGAGAGGCGGCGGCCGAGGCTGAAGCGGCGGCTCCGCAGGTCCTCTGCACCCTCCCCCTGCGTCCTCCCCCGCCCTCCGCCGCCAGATCGGACCGGCGCCCCCAGCTGCCCCAGCCTCTAGGATCGAGCGCCCGGAGCGCCGCCCGCTCGCTGCATGAGCGCTTGAGTCCTGCTTCCCACCCACCGGGGCAGGCGCTCACAGGCTGTGCAGACTGGACTTCATCTTTCTTTTTTTTTTAATTCTCTCTCTCCTCCCTCTCCCTTTTCTCTCCTCCCTCTCTCTTCCTCTCTCGGTCTTCCCGTCCTTCCTCTGATCCAAACTTCTGGGAAACGTTTTTTTTTCTGAATTCCTCTCTTCCCTTCCCGAGGAACAGGGGGCAGGCTGTGCGCTCCTGTCCGAGGGGTGAGGGAGAGGGAGGGGGGGAGGAAGAAAAAGACTGAGGGGGAAAATAGCCAGCCCCCAACCAATGGCGAGGAGGGAACAGGAGAAACCCTGAGAGCACAGACCAATGAAAGGCGAGGAGAGACTGAGGCTCGGGCCAAGGCTGCGCGCCGGTCGTCTCCTGAATGCTCCTGGGCCGACTTTAACCCCTGGCTTTCCGGTCCCCCAGGGGTTACTTGAGAAGGGAGAGAGAGAAAGGGGATCCGAAGGTCGAGGTCTGATCTGCGCTGTTACAAACTCCTGCAAATCCCAAATTCGTACGTTTTCCTCCTAAAGCTCCTGGTTCTCATAGACGCTGCAAGCCCGGAGTCATTTTAGTTGCAGATACGGAATTTTGGGGACTCAGACAAAATGTTAACCTGTCCAAAACGGCGGAAAACGATTCTGATCATCTCGCGCCTGCACCCAGGTGCTTTCAGATCTGCTGGGTCCTCCCGGATTTCGACACACACGCGGTTCTTACATCCCTGTGAAACGTTTTCTAAGCGACTATGGTCAAGGCAAAACGAAACAAACAAACAAAAACAGCCTCGATTCTATCCAAGGTCTTGTAACTGAAAATTCAAAGACTGCTTCCCCTTTTCAGCTCTACCTGGTGGAGGAGACACAGGCGTCTCAAGAACACTAGGCCGGCCGTGAGGCGCCCGGCTTACCGCGCGCTCCGCAGGCGTATCCCGGCTGGGCCCGCAAGCTGCAAATAAATACTCGCTTATCCTGCAGAGCAGACGCTGGGCTGCGCTTTGCCTGTTCTGGGCTCTTGTTCCGGAGAACCCTCGGAGGGGTGCCCGGGAAGGGCAGCTAAAAACTTTGACAGCGGAGAAGGAGCTTTTTAAAAATTCCCTTCAAATCCCGTCGCCTTGAGAGCCTGGCTCTCCCCGCCCCGCTGATCCTCCCCCCTTTGTTTAATCTTTCAGGATAGTGCGTTCGTCAGGAATTTCTTAGGAACTTAAAATCCAACACTCCTGGCCATTCTTATTTCTCACACCCCCTTCCACGTCGCGGGCGGCAGAAAGCTGCAGAAGACCCCGAGTGAGTGCAGCCTTGCACGGAGCAATCTCAGACTGGCCCCGAAGTCGGTCTTGCCAAGCTGGGAAAACACGTCTCGGGTTTCGCGGACAGCGGCCTAGACACAGCCTGATCTTTCCCTCAGAACTCCCTGGTTGAGATGGTTCTATCCCCGCTAGAAGAAGCCGAGAAGAGCCCTGTCTGGGGAGGCGACAGACTTGGAAGCCGAGGAGAGACGCAGACAGCCAGGCCCTTAGCAGGGTCCGAATCCACAAGTTCAAGCTAGGGGTGCGGGCAACGGCATATTACAGGCCCCTGAGAAATCAGCTCCCACAGGTCCTCCCACCTTGGGCTGAGAAGGGACTGCCTGACGGGCCTCTGAAACGCCACATTCCCCGCCTGACTGCCGAGGGGCCAGAGGAAATCCAGTGCCTGCTATTATAGTTGGAAACCTCTGGTGCTGGAGGCAAGGGCTGATTATTGTGAATGTGCCTTGGGCCTCTTTGGAGGAGAGCAAACAAGGCCACTTTGGACCCCTCTTAAATTGGGCTCCAACACTAACAAGAGGAAGCTAGTGGCACAGCAAATAAAAAAAGAATAACGGAAAAGCCACTACAAGGCCACTTTGGACCCCTCTTAAATTGGGCTCCAACACTAACAAGAGGAAGCTAGTGGCGCAGCAAATTAAAAAAGAATAATGGAAAAGCCACCGGATGAGTATGATTCCGCTAGGCCTGGCCTCCCGAGCCTTCCTGGAGCCTACATCTCAGGCTTGGAGGTCCCCAAGGGAAACTGCAAGAACCTTGGGGACCTGGAAGTTGGGCACTGAGCCCCTCAGCGTCTCCTGCCGCTCTGCCCAGCAGACTCCAGGAGCCCGGGGGGGCGAGGCTCAGGGTCTCCCACCTCAGTCACCACTCGACGTTGCTTCCAGGAGCCATCACCGAAAGTGACCACGCATTCACTGCTACTGGAGTTCAGCAGAGAAGTTGGAGAAAAGGGAGAGTGCAGTTTCCTTCCCTGGCGACTTGCTCACCGCTCCTGACTCTGGTGTTGCTTGAGGCTGGAGATGCCCAGACCAGGCAAGGTGGCCTAGTGATGGGGCCAGCCTCTAGGTTTTCCCAGCTCTTCCCTCCACCCCAACATCTGTATCTCCCATCTCCCCTGGCAGTCTCTTGCATCACACCCTCTCATAGGCCTGGTTTGGACTAAGAAGCGGATACACCATAAGCCACGCACCCACCCTGAGGCCACAAAAGTGTCTCAAAAAGGACTTTTTGGTTACCCTTGAGCCGAATGCAGGATCAGAGGCCTGAACGATGTACATGTCTGTGAATAAAGTGTCTGAGAGACTTACATAGAGGAAAGAGCAATGCCTTCAGGGTGTGCATCTGCAAGTCACACCGGCATACTTTGCATAGAGCTCTAGGTTGTACATAGGCTGCTCTCACCCCTATTCCACATACACACATATCCTGAAATTGTGGGTTAGGCCATTAAAACTAATCAGACCCAAGAAAAGGCAGGCTGGTTTGGAACAGTCATGAAACTAGGAGGTTTCCTCTAGGTAAATGGGAGGGGCAATGACATTTTCTGTGACTCTAATCTTTTTTCCCAGGGACATGCTTTCCTTGGTGTCTGACTGTGCTGAAGAGGCAGGTCTGCAGAAACATTAAGCAAGATGGTTTAATATCTGTGACTTAGGTGTATAATTGTATGCTGTTGGGGGGTTTCAGGGATTAAATGCAAGAATCTAAAAGTGTGGTGTACATTTTCCTTACACTGATTACATCAAAGGGCTTTCAAAATCTCTCACTACCTCATTTTTCTCTCTCCTTTAACCTTTATGGGTAAAAGTGGGGTGCCCAGTATATAAGGCTAATCACCTAGGCACTCCCCAGGTTTCCCAGCTATCGGCTCCAACCTTGTGCGCTGGATGGATCCCATAGATGATGAGTCCATTTTAGGTCTATTTCAGTCCTGAAGCTGACTAATAAGGATCAAGCTAAAGGCCTCCACCCTATGCCCTGCAGAACCCCAAGGAGGAAGGGAACGTTGTTGGGCACCTGGGAAGCCAGAGAAGAATTTCTCCGGGTCTCTTACCACATGAAGGAGCATATGGGGAAGAGGTGGCCCAGGCCTAGCCTTGGCAGGAAGAAAGCCAGGAAGGGAAGGGCAGCATGGTGACTGCTCACCTAAAACTGACCTTGTCCAGACATTTTGATTTTTTCAGGAAAAACAGTTCTGCAGCATTGGGACAAGAACCATAAACACAAACAGGCATTCCCAGAAATAGAGCCCCCACATCCTCCACATACCTGTCTTTTCCTCCCATTACCACACATCAAATACCACCTTAAATACTACCACTGTGAACGCTTCAATACCAAGGTGACCCACCAGCCGGCTTTGATTTTGGAGTTTTGAGTGAATAATTGAAAACAAAGTTAAAAATAGTTGGCCAGCAGGACAAGTTAGGCTGCCTCTAAACACGTGGGCAGGACACCCAGTAGGGGCAAACTGTGAACGCTTCAATACCAAGGTGACCCACCAGCCGGCTTTGATTTTGGAGTTTTGAGTGAGTAATTGAAAACAAAGTTAAAAATAGTTGGCCAGCAGGACAAGTTAGGCTGCCTCTAAACACGTGGGCAGGACACCCAGTAGGGGCAAAGGAATTGTAATGAATTCGGCCATCAAGGTAGGTATAAAACGTTATGAGGCGACTATGGGGTGGGAAGAAACCACAGGGACTCCAAGGCGAGGTGGAGCCTAGCGACCAGGCCTGGATCAGCCCCAAATTGTGTAACCTTAGGTAAGTCGATTAACAGCCTATGCCTCAGTTTCCCTATCCTCAGGGTGAAGGGGTCCTAAATACCTTACAACTAAAGCAAAGCAGGCAAGATAATTAGTTGGGGGCTGGACAGACCTGAAGTTTTTTTATTATTGCTGTGATCGAATCTTCAGGGATAGTGAGACCAACGCTCTGACTTTTCACTTCTTTTCCCAAGTTGGCACCCCAAAACAACAGAAGAGCATGAAGTCGGGCGCGTAACCGGCCTGGAGCCCTCAGGCGTGGTGGGAGGGAGTCGATCTCTGGAAATGCCTTCCCAGCTCTAGTTCCGCGGAGACGGCGCGGGCCCAGTCCTGGAGACCGCGTCTCGCGTCGCCCAGAGTTCGTTCAGGTCGCTGAGGGACCGTCGTCCGTCCTTGACTATTCAGCCACCCCCTCACACTTTTAAAAAATAAGAGTCTGTGGGGGTGAAAGGTCTTTAATGATGTTTTTTTGTTTTCGCGAAATAAAATCTTTTATTTTTATTTTAAACCAGCAGCGTGCCCGCCTCTCGGTCCTTCCAGATGTTTGCAATAAAATCGCAGGTTTTGCCTTTGGGACTGGAAATAAAATTTAACGGCCTTCACCCTGTAATTATTCTCTTAGCTCGCCCTTCATAAATTTATCTGCTTTC